GCCACTGGGAGAAGCTGGAGGTTTTGCTCCATTTTATTATACAAAAATAGCTTCAACGCAGTCAGTACATTAGAACGAAAAGTTCCACAGAAAATGCCAAATAAGTTAAAATTGCCTTTGCATAAACTTAAATAGAAGAGCTGAACACTGTATTAAATAGTCTGACAAATTCATGAGTAATAAGAAAACCGGGATGTGTCTGAGAGGAGCCCGTGAGAGCAGGTCCTTGCAGAGGTGCAGATCTGCAAGGGGTGCAGCTGCATCCCTTGCAGAATCTTGGAGGCAGCAGGGTATTGCTTATCCACTGCCTGCACTGTCGTGGTGATTCAGGATGTCCTGGACCCACTTATCATCAGGTTTGCCACAGACCCTCTTGCCTAGGCCTGTGATAAATCTGGAGAAGGAAATCCAGTGAGAGGAAAGGATAGGGCAGGGGAGGGGAGGGGAGGGGAGGAGGAGAAGAGGGGAACTGGCTGCTCTTTGCCACCAGCAAACCAGACACTTCTGTAGATGCAGAATCCCATGGAAATATGGGCTAGGGGGGTGGCTACATGTCATTACAGGGAATCTGCTCCCTGCCACTTAAGCAACTTTGTCTCTGCCTGCCTACTCCAGTCAGGACACCGTCCTGGCTGGTTCCCGCTATCTGGGCATGAAAGGGGTGGCCAGCAAAAGCTCTTTTGACTCAAATCCAATAGGGAGGTCCAGAAACTGGGTGCCTGGGACGTGGGATTGGCCTCTGAGATATCTCCTGGCTGTTCTAACACAGGAGAGCCCAGCCTGGTGTTTTCCCTTGCCAGGACCTGTGCGGTTTCCTGGCACTGCCACCCTCCAGTGGAGCAGGGTGGCCCAGTATTTGGGCAGGAGACCTACTCACATCACGGCTGGCAGGTCGCAGTGGCTGCTCGTGTGCTCATATGTCACCACGCGGCTCGCGGGAACTGCTTTGGTTGCATAGCGGAGGCAGCAGGAACCAGGAACATTGGCACCCCCTGGCAGAGAAGTTAAACTTTGTGATTAAACCGGAATGGGAAAAGTGCCAGTGGGGAGAAGCAGGTCAGAAGACCAGAGGGGTCCCTGCGGCAGGAGGTGCTGTTCCCACCATAGGTTCCCACCGCAGCCACCCTTCCCTCAGAAAGCCAAGGAGTAGCAAGACAGGCCTCTCCTTTCCTGCAGCGCATGCTTGGAAGAGAAAGCTGCCAAGCATTACTAAACTTTATACAGCACAGAAAGAGAAGAGAGCTCCTTGGAGAGGAGAGCTTGGACTCACATGGAGAAGAGGAGACCTGATAGCAGAGGACAGCCATAAGAAGTACAGCAAGGGCAGCTGTGGAGGTCTTCATGCTCCTGTTGGGTGGAGATAAATTGTAGGAGTCAGGCTAGACTGCTGCAGGTGCCCCTTGCTGTGCCTGATGTGGGATCTTTGGGTTCAGCTCATTTATAGAGAGACATAGAGACCAAGGACGGAAACACACCAGAAACATTGCTGAAAGACATGACACAATGGAAAAAGTGCTGTGTCAGGGGTGCTTGTGGAGGGAACTGCCCAGAGCCCCGATAAGAGCAGTGCCCTGATGTGCCATATCATATGATGTGAATGATACGATACCACGAAATTATAGAGAACAGGATATGACCTCTCTTTTCCTTTTACTCCTGACCAAAGGACTCTGTAGACAACCTAGAAAGAACGATTCAGAAGATTAGTAGATGACCCTCTTACGCAGAAGTGACATAATGGCAATGGGTGGAGGATGGCTGTGGCTGCTACACACTGTATTTCCTAGAATATCTGCATCACAGACAAACTGAGGATAGATAATTCACTTCTCCTACAGCAGCTGGAGCTCAGAGAGCCCACGAGTCTGCCCTGCTTGCAGCACTGCCGCGAGGAGATGGGGGCTTTCTCCATGGGATCCAGAAGGCCATCAGTATGTAAACATGCGGAGCAGGGGGTACAGCATGGTGCTATCCCAGGTCTGGGCTCCTCTTCTGTCCTTGACTGTCAGTTGCAGCAAGTCATTAGAAAAGCAGTTCTGTTGCTACATTGCAGTTTCACAAACATCAGTGACAGCTAAAATAGCACTGTGTTATCCATGGACATGAGAATCTGCCATTAATGCTTACCAAGAGCTTTAGAAGCCCATGTTGGCACAGCAGAGTTGGCTTAGATGATTATTTGGTTCCAGCAGTGTAGAATTGACACCCTCCTGATGCTGCTTTGTCATAGCCCCAGCAGCCACAGACACATAGAGAAGAGATTTGCTTGTTTAGCTCATATTGTTTGGGACGGGAATGGTGTCTCTGCACTGGCAGAAAAAACTCTCAACAAATGCTGCATCCCTACAGAAGGGCTCTACTGGCTTCTGGGCAAAGGCTGGTGGATGAAGCCTCAGGAGAGTGGAGGAAGAGCAAGATCTTCAAAGTGTTAGTGAACATGTCCAGGCTTGGACAACCACAGCTGCAGAGGGAAAGCTACACAAGCAGGCTGCCTTTCATGATGGTCCAGTGAAGAAAGGGATCTAGCTCCTCTATGGAGGAGGATGATTACAAAATAGAAACCACTGCCAAAAGTGGTGGCCTTGTAGGAACCCAGAAGAGGAACTAGAAGGGAAATTAAGAGATTCCCCGGACCAGGTGGGGGAGAGCTGATCCCAGGCCTGGGACCCCCAAGGGCACACCATCACCATGTCTCAGGAGACCGACTGAAAAAAGTGAGCCAGACTTGACAGGAAGCGTGGGCCTGGTGGCATTGCAGGATCTGTTTTATACAGAGCCTTTTGTTTCACTGTAACGCTGTTACTAAGCATGGGCAAAACCGAGCCAGGGTGAGACCACACACACGTGGTGCCTTGCTGCCATGGAATTGGGAGCCTGGGTGAGCCTGCAGAGCCCTGGGACCCCAGGGCACCCACTGCCAGCGGGGTCTTGGGAAAGATGCTTCCATAGCAGGGACAGGCACCTCCTACCACAGAGCAAGAAGGCAGCCTCCATTCCACCCACATCCTCCGCAGCCATTGTAGCACATTGCCCAGCTTTGCCATGGCAGCAGTGAAGGATTTAGCACAGCCAGTTGCTTTTCTGCATCTCTCTTTCTCTACTGATGGGA